TGTCATTTAACTAGTGTGCAGCTTTGAGAAGGATAGATATTAAAAACAAGTGTGATGTTCCAAAAAGCCAAAGATGTTTCAGAGTGGGGCATAAAATTGGCCCCAGGGTGGAAATGAGTCATTTTGGTAAAAGTCCCTGTGCCACCTGCCATCATTCTGATACTAAAGAAACAGTTACTCTATTGGAAAATTAGTTGTACAGGCTGATTAACGGATGTGTCCACCTCAAGGATAACTCCCACCGAGGCCTTTTAGAGGCAGGAAAGAGCTCTTTACAACTCAGCTCCTGCTTTGTATAAATTATTAGAGTGTGGGACAAGGGAGCACTTTGGGGTAATGAGAAGAAAAATATAATTTGAGAAAGCCTATCAGTTTTTCTTGAGTACTTTTAGCAAATTGCCAACATAGTCGTAGATTCTGTTCTTAAGACTTTCTGTTTTTTTTCAAGGGGAGATACAAACTTTTTATGTTTCCCTTTCTGTTTAATCACCTAACACTGCCATTTCATTTCATGATTCAACGTGGAACATATACTGTCACTCTCCAGTTGGTTCATGTTTATTGATCTGTCCTCACCAAAAATTAGAGATAGGACAAGCAATTCCAATTGATCTTTACTCTCTTTCTTGGAACCTTGGTTTAAAGGTACCACATCATAAATAACATTTGCATGAGTATAATTGGTTGCTGCTTTAGTGTTGAATTGAAATGTATCAGTTGAGAAGGTCTGTAAAATACAATGGCTTAGTTCTCAGGTCCGCAGGTTTTCCCACCGGAGCTGTGAGCTAAACCACAGGCACACCAACTATGAGAAACAAATGAAAGCTGTCACCAGTGTCAGTAGCAAAAACTGGGGGTCCACCCACACAGTGATGGACATCTGCATTCCTAATTGGCATCGTTTTGGATTCTGCCAGCAGGCTGGCAGTGACAAAAGAGTCCAACAGCCTTAGAAAATGCTAGGTATCTGGTTAGGTGGTAGGACACACCGATGAGGCTTGGACGTTCTTTTGTTTAAAAGACTCTCCATCTGTTTGTGATAGTCCTGGTGATTTTTAGTTTCAGGTGCCTCCAAATGGCACCCCTTGTCAATACTAAATTTGCTGGCTACTTCTAAAACAGATCAGTTTATGATCTTAGGAGAACAAGTGGTATTGATGGTTATATGATCAGAAGATCGTTGGCAAAGATGCCTACAAATAGTTAACAAGGTAATGGTAAGAAATGTTGACCTTGATTTGTTTAGCTAAGATGTAAAGATTTTTGAAGGTCAAAGGTGTCCTTGTGTAGTGTTTTGGAGTCTAACTGTGTCTGACCCTCTAACATTAAGCTGCTGTGGCCTGCAGTTTTCAAGAGTGAAGCAAACCAGGGGGAAAGAGAGAAGGGGGGAGAACAGGAAATGGAGTGAGGTGTTTCAGGAAGTTGTCAGGGGTTGACTGATTGATTCCAGATGGAAAAGGTCAGCCTTCACGACCCAGGAAATACTCACTAGGGGAAAGAAGTTGGCTTGTGGAAGGGGAAGGTCTGGGAGTGAGCCGAGGCTGGAATGCACATTCCACTTCCTTTAGTCTTCAAACGTTCAGAAACTTTAACTTCTCCGAAGAGAATAACATCAGTGTTGTCATCGTTCATCAGAAAACAGTGAAGGAAGTTAAGTTTGGAGCTTTGACTGTACCAAATGTATCTTTACCTCCATAATGTTGTTCATTCTTCTAGAAGTGCAGTGAATGTGTGTGAAAAGTCCATATTTGTGAGTGTCTCCATGGAGAAGAACAGCAACCAAACTTGCCTGGTTTCACATGGTGGAGTTTGTGAATTAAATCCTTTCCATTTTGCAAATTCACTTTAATTGGCAGACTCTTATACATACCTTAGAGTCTAAGATATTTGCAATATTAAGTGGGATCTTGTCTTGTACCTATATATATACACACACACACGCACATACATTTGGACATAATTTAAAATCTTGTAATAAATTTTGCAGACACTGAAATAATTCAGGTTAATTCCCTTGCTGTCATGGGAGGCCTGCACTAGCCAGCAAGAGATTAAAATTTATTTCCATTGTTAATAGAAAATAATGAAGTGCATCTGAACCGTCAGGGCATGTCATTTGGGAAATGTTCACTTTGGAACTGACTCTTACTCCACCCAAGTGGACAATGATGAAATCAGCTGGCTGGAGAAAGCCCATATTTTGTGGCAGGAATGCGCCAGGAGCATTGGATAAAATATGACAAGGAGCCTGTGGAATGAATCGAAGTGGTCTCAGAGAGAACACTCTTTGCATCCACTCAATCCACGCAATCCCAGGGCAGGCCAGGCTTCCTTGGTGCACCTAGTACGTATGGCTTATTAGCCATCAAAGCCTGAGGCACCCTCTTAGTTTTGTTTTTTCCCAGAGACAACTGCTGTGTCTTTGAAAATCCATTCACATGCAATTTACCACAGTGGTTTGATCGCTCTTTTTGCTCTACCTTCTCCTGTTCTCTGCATGTAGAGGGTGAGTGGTCTCCTCAGACTCTGGTGAGGGGCAGCTGTGCTGCCTTCTGTGCTCTGCGGAGATGCCCTGACAAGGACTGGTGCCTCCATGCACTTACCGAGAGTAAAGGATGTCTCCGTCTCAGTCTCATGGTAGCCACCCCATGACAGGAACTTCCTGGAAGGACTTTCCTCAGACTCTTAACATATTAACATGGGTACAATTGAAAACAGACCCCAAGCTAGACAGGCTGTATCCCTTAATTGTGAACAATTATACCAATAATAATTTTCTGAATGACAACTGGAGAAATATTATCCTGAGTTTGGTGTGGTCAGATCATTGGTTATATTCCCAGAACCTGGCACAACACAATACCCTACACGCAGTGGGAGTTCAGTGAGTGCTTTGGGGTTGAACTTTGGAGTTGAACGATGGGAGCCCACTGTGCCCAGGTGTAATTTCCCATGTGCTGCTACTGTCATGCCTGTGGCGCCAGGCAGGTGAAATCGTTTGTGAACCTATGGCTGTAAGGGTTTCCCAACTCCCCATTACATTAAAACAGGGGTGTCAAACTCATTTCCACTAGGCCATTCGGCCTCGCAGTTGCTTCCAAAGGGCCGAATATAACTTAGGACTGTATAAATGTAAACTACTCCTTAACAGTTAAGCGAGAGCTCAGCACTGCTGCTGGGCAGAAACAAGGTGTTGGGCTGGATAAAATAATGTGGAAGGCTGGATTCAGCCCCTGGGCCTTGTGTTTGCCAGCTGTTGGTTAAAATATGTATTAAACCATTTAAAAGATAATTCTAAAACTCTATGTAAGGTAGAAAAAAATCGAAAGCATGTTGCCTTGGGGAGGACCTACTAAGATAACTTCCTGGGGAGGTGGAAATATTCTAGATCGTAATACGGTGTGGGTTCCCTGCATATACCCATTGGTCAAAATCATGCAGCTCGGATTTGTGCATTTCAGTGCACATAAAATTTCACCTAAAATGGGAATTCATTGTATTATTCTGTTTGTTTGCTTGAAATTATTCATAGTAAAAAAATTTAAGTACAGTTTAATGAACATTATTTCTTATTAGGGGCAAGTCAGGGTCAAGGTTTCTTTGCCTTTCACTTAATAAGAAACTAAAGGGTGGCAGAAAAATTACAAATAGCACATCAGGAAGAGTCCAGTTCAACTACAACTCCTCATGATGTGCCTATTCAATTCCTGTCCTCAAAAAGTTCATACATATGCATGAATATATATATGTGTGTGTGTGTATAGTGTGTGCTTTTCTCAAAAAAAAAACAACATTGCCATGAGTAGCTGACCAGCAGACTCATATCTAGGGTGGCTCATCTTCCTGGGTCAAGTACTCCTAAGTCAGTGGCAGTGTATTCAAGTCCACTTGATTGGCTACACGTTCCCTCCTGCTCTGGCCTTGGCTGATCTCTACCTCTTTGAATTTCCTTCGCACTCCTCATCAGCAGCTCGTGCACCAAACTCAGTTGAACTTCGTTTCTTGGGCTACTTGTTATGCGTCAGCCATGTTTCTCCAGCTTGCAAGTAAGCTCTTTGATCTTAGAGGTCGCACCTTGTAACGTTTGGTCTCTAGCTCCAGTGTCCCACTTTCCAGAGCCTCCCCCAGAACTTAGGCTACAGAGAGGCTCAAGGAGTGACATCGTCTGTCCTACTGACTGGTCAGACAAGGCAGAGGTGAGGCGAAGTCATCCAGGCCCTACACCAAAAGCTTTACATGTGTTTATTCTTATTTTGTCTCCTTTAGCCCTTGAGGCATAGGTATTGTTTATGTTTTACAGATAAGAAAAACGGAGATTGGGAAAGGTTGGTAATTAGCCCAAGGTCACAAGTTAGGAAGCAGCAGGTGTGCAATTTGGGTTTAGTTTTATCTGACTCCAAATCCGTGCTCTTCCACTGCTCTATACATACCCATCTGGTCCCTTTTCTCTGCTCATACACTGAATGTCCTCAACACTGAATTCCAGCAACCTAACCTTCCCACCAAAAGTCTGAGCATCTCCACCATTCTCCCTTGTGGCTTCCCCCTGCCAGGATTACAGGAGCACATGCCCAGGGTGCAGGAACCCATTCCTGAGCTTAGAGAAATGACCTCCCAGCTGGCATTCAGATCTCAGCTTCCTGATCACACACAATCAGCTCCTCATATCAGTGACAGCTCGAGGGTCAGCTGGAAATGGCTGCCCAGGCCCTCTGATACAGAACTGGATTTCTAGAAGCAGCAGGCAGATAGCCGCTTTCCCCATTTCAGCATTGGGCTTAGTCTGAATGCAAACATGTGCCAGCACCTGGTGAAGGGCGTTTTCTTCCCATGCATCTCGGCCATAATCACAGGAGGAGTGGAAATGCCCAGAGCACGGCCTGTCCCCAAGCTCTGTCCCATCTCTCCTCAGCCATGTGGAAAAGGCCAATAGAATTCTGGTACATTTACTACTTCATGTGAAAATAACTCCACCCCTGTTTTTAACTTTAAATATGCAGGTCGTGTTGTCAACAACGGTGAATGTGGACGGGCATGTGCTGGCTGTTTCTGACAATATGTTCGTGCACAACAACTCGAAGCACGGGCGGAGAGCGAGGAGACTGGACCCCTCCGAAGGTAGGGCTGCTGTGGGGCTGCTGTGTACCCAGGGGGGATGGCACACAGATGAAGTTCTCCCCAGACTTCTGCATAAATTTCAAATCAATGTCTCTGAATAGGAGTGGAGAAAGTACACAAGACCATGTGAGTTTAAAAGTGAAGTTGTAAACACTGACTCCAGGCGTTCCAACGCAATGCCCCCACATCCTGCCCCACGCTCAAGCCTCCGTGCCTCTCAGTCCATTCCATTCAGTTCTGTGTCTTTCTTTTTGCTAGACAGGTATTTCAGGCAAATGTAGGCCTATGACATCTTAGTTAAACAGGAACATTACAGTGCCAGACATGTATGAATAAGTGTCAGATGTGCCCTTAAACAGATTGTGGGCAAAACAAAACAATGTGCAGAACGAAACTGACACTAATTGATTTTTGTTTGCTTGGACTGGAAGAAAACGTAGTCTGTTCTGGGTAGTTTTCCAAGTGCATTAAAGTAATTAGAAATACCAGTAACTGTTAAGCTTCAGCTTGTCCGAAACATTAAAGTATATTGAGGAAGATAACTGACAAACCTAAGTAAAGTCCATCTGAGTTCTTCTCTTCTTTCCCCCGCTCCCCAACACTCTGGTGTAGGAGGTCTTGGACTGCAGCAGAAACAGTTAAATTGGGGTACTACGTTAGTGTGATGTTTCACTAAATGCTGCCCACAAGCTCCCACCCCAACTCAGCCTGTAAAATGTGTCTTGTATCATTTAATACAGGAATTAATGGACTGAAAGAAAATGATTGAATCAGTAAAGAATTTGGAGTGGTGTTAATTCTCCCACAGTGGGCACTGAAGGGGAGAAGGAAACCCCAGGGTTCAGAACTAGGAACCCATCCAGTTTCCCTTGACTGATTGGATGTGATTGACTGGCTGTTCAAAGGAGGCTCATGTTTTTGGAGTCCTGCCAAAGTTCTCTTCCACCTTTGACCCTGTCAGCTTTGGAAATGGAGTGATGGATTGACTTTAGTTATGGCCTGAAAACCATATTGGGTTCCTGTTGGGATGTAAAGTCCAGAGGCCTTGAACATATGGAAAAAGGGGGAGGGGAGTGGAAGATGCTTCCTACAAAGTTAGGAAAGTGATTAGAAATTGTCTCTTGATGGGGCTGAAAAAACCCTTCACCTCTTATATTTTGCTTCCTCTTTCTGTAGCACATTAGCAGGCCTTATAAATCTCAACATCTTGGTGCAGAGGAGGTGGAGAGAGAAAAGGGATTTACACATTTCCAGTGTGGTCAACTTATAAAAATATTGGGAAAAACAACAGAGTTCTAAAAACACCCTTTGCACAATTAGCTAAGTGTTCCATGTTTTCATACATAGCGGTCAACTCATTAGGCTTTAATGACCTGGTGAAAACCAACAACCAATTAAGAAATGATGGCAAGTCAGCAAAGCTCAACTTGAACTTCTTGAAATGACCAACAGCTTTCAAGATCAGGCAGTAGCCCAGGCTCCAAACTTCAACTACCAAAGGGCAGATCTGACTTTCCTTTTCTATCTTTTTAGCTACCCCCTGCATCAAAGCCATCAGCCCAAGTGAAGGCTGGACCACAGGAGGGGCCATGGTTATCATCATTGGGGACAACTTCTTTGATGGACTTCAAGTGGTGTTTGGGACCATGCTTGTGTGGAGCGAGGTAGGCTGGGGCAACATGCTTTCCTGATTTTCTTTGGCCTAAGGATTGTTTTGCTCTGGAGAAACTAGTAATATCCATACCATCAGCAGCATGAATGCACATCATTGGGTACCTATATGAGTAGAGCGCTGAAGGTTAACCACATATGAACCACAATGTATTGGAGGCATGGATACCTTCAAAAGATAAATACTCATTGCAGTATTGTTTATAATTGTGAAAAATTAGGAGTAGCCTAGATATTGGGTATTGTTAAATAAACAATTCTACCATTGAAAAATTTTGTTTTGAAAAAATTTTAATGACCAAGAGAAGGGTGCTTATTTATGCTATATTGCTAAGTGAAAAAAGATCAGCACAACAGTGTCTTAAGATGTAAAACAGAATTACGTGCCCTGGCTGGTGTAGCTCAGTGGATTGAGCACATACCTGTGAGCCAAAGGGTTGCTGGTTTGATTCCCAGTCAGGGCACATGCCTGGGCTTGCAGGCCAGGGCCCTGGTGGGGGCCCCACAAGAGGCAACCACACACTGATGTTTCTCTCCCTCTACTTCTCCCTCCCTTTCCTTCTCTCTAAAAAAAAATAAATAAAATCTTAAAAAAAAAGAATTATGTAACATTCATGGAAAAGTACTGGAAGCACACCAAAGATGAATAATGGTTGTCTCAGGTTAGGCAATGTTAATATGTTTCCTTATTTTTTTTTTGTAATTTCCAAATTTTCTGAAGTCGATATGTTCTACTTTCATAATGAGAAAAGCCACAAGACAGGTTGCAGAAAGATAACTAGTGATGTGAAGTCGGATGTGAAAGTTGCCAAATCAGTACATGAGAGGATAGCAGTGTAGGAATTGGGGGGAGGGTGCAATTAGAGGGGTGGGGGTGGGGTTGGCACGGGAGGCGGGAGGGACTTGAGCTGGACGGTAGGAAGGAAAGGACCTGAACAGGCTGGAGTGAGAGGAAATTCCAGCGTAAGAGAGAAACATGACAGACAGGGACAAGGTGTTCGGAGCATTGAGGTGTCACGAGTACACCAGTGTGCCCTGGTGGGAGTGGTCGTGGGAGATCCTCATGTTCCCAGTATGTTCACTGATAGCTTGTCTAATAGGTGTTTTATTTCCCGGCCTGTTCATTCCTCAGCTAATCACTCCTCATGCCATCAGAGTGCAGACTCCGCCTCGGCACATCCCGGGGGTAGTAGAAGTGACTTTATCTTATAAATCCAAACAGTTCTGCAAAGGAGCTCCAGGAAGGTTCATTTACACAGGTGAGTGAGAACACCAGGCCGGGGCACGAGCTCCTGATTCCACTTTGCTCTAAGTGCCAGTCTCTCTGCTTTTTAATCCGTCTAACTTTTCTAGGTCTTTCTACTTGTGTGGGAAGAGTGGATGGGGTAAAAGACATTGACTAGGAAAGTACAGACTCAAGTCTAAAGTTGTATTTTACTTAAGCAGTTTCTGCACAGTCTGGGGGAGGGTCCTGACCACTCATCTCCGGAGGACATCCTTATAAATTTAAAGGACTCTGCTGGAACCTCGCTGGAACAGACCTTTATCCAAACAACAGGATAAAAACATTAGACAAAGTTGCTGGGTATAAGTAAATCTTCTTGAAAAGGATTTAAGAAAGTTGCCCATGGATGCTGCAGAATGATTCAAATTGTTTTCAAATGTTATGAAAGTATAAATTATCTACTATATGTCTCAATATTTGCTGACTATCTACCTTGTAGTTACAACTTTTTCCAGGCATACGGTACAGGGACATGTGACACATGGTCCTTATTTGGAGTTTAGAACTTTGGGAGGAGGCAACAGTGTATTGCACAGAACACTTGGAGAATTAGAATAGTCAAAATGTCTGGTATTTCTAATAAACAGAATATGAGTTCCAGGAAGAGAGTTTAGTGTGGACTAGAGTAGTAGGATAGGATTTCAAGGAGGACATTTAAGGATGGGGGCATTTAGGTAGACGGAAGGAAGAAGGTTTCGGCCACGGAAACACACATGCAGAGACCCAGAGGGTGAGGAGTAGGGAACCAGAGGAGAGCGGGCCGTGGCAGTGTATTTGGGTAGAACTTAGACCAGAACTTAGCTTAGATGGTCTAGGCCTGGGAAGCAAGGAAACCACATAACAGCTTCAAAGCCCTGTATGGTGCCTGGAGTTGTCAAATTCATTGAGACAGAAGGTTGAATGGTGGTATTTCGGGGTTGGAGGTGGGGAGAATGGGTGTTGTGTTTTAATAGGGACAGAGTTCCAGTGTGGCAAGATGAGAAGAGTTCCACAGAGGGGTTGCACAGCAAAATGTGATTGTACTCGAGGCTATGAAACTATATACTTAGAAATGGTTTAAGATGGTAAATGTCATTATGTGTACCATAATTTTTTTAAAAATGAAAAAGCTTTGATTGGTCATTTGGACTTGGATTGGCCAGATACGAGGTGAACTGAGGGTTCCCATGCAAGGGAAAGTGACTTGTGTCAAAAGCAAAGCAGGAACATACCAGACTAGAAGAGGCTGGGGACCACAGTTTGTGGAAGCAGAGCACCTGGCAAAAGAGGAGCCCACGTAACTGCGAAAATGACAATAGATGTTATGTTACATGTAAACTCAAAGAATCTTAGAGACGAGGAGACATTGAAGATCATCTGGTCTAACTCTGCCTTTTGCAGGTGAGAAAAGTGAGGCTGGAGAGAAGTGACTTGCTCACAGTTGTCCATGGCATTCAGCATGGAGTCAGATATAAGACTCAGGTCTCAGGCCATGCCTTCTGAGCCTCTTTAGCAGTGCAGTGGCATCAAAGAGCTCTCTTTTCCTGATGAGCCATGAATGACTGACTCATGAAATAAACAGTGCTGGAGTGCAGGCACGAGGCTCAGTGTGCCAGTGCTGTGCTCTGGGGCACCACAGGCCAGCCAGGTCCCCAGGGCTCTTGCTCCCTCAGCGTTACAGTGTGGTGACAAAAAGGCAAACTGGCTCAAGCTCTGGGGTCCCACTGCCTGCATGCCCAGCTCAGCTCACCTCTAAGTAGTTCTTACATCTTGCATAGGAGACTTAACATCTTAGTTGCCCGTCTATCAAATGGGCTACCTACTCCCAGAGTCATGGTGAAAACTACATGATACAATACCTAGGAAGAGCGGTGTGCTGGTAATGGTTTAACCACCAGCTCTCCAGGCATGAGCTGAGGGTAGGGGAAATATTGGTTTGTAGCATTTACTGATTTCCATGGTGCAAGTACTCTCCTCAAATCTGATTGAGACCAATATGACATCAACCAGCTCACAAAACTTCTGAATATTTAACAACCTACTCTCATAAACCAGGTTTAGAACACCTCTGATTGCAAAGCATTTGGGATACAGAGCAACTAGATCTTATTGTTCACAAGATGCTATGGATATATGCCAGGGAAATTTAACCTTCTTAAGCTGAGATGACAGAGAAGGCTAAGACCAATCCAAACACAGAAAACAGTGCATGCAAAGGTCCTGGGGTTGGAGGTGGGGAGAACATGGGATGTGTTTTATGACCACTATGAACAGGGCATAGAGAATGAGGTAAAGAGAGGTAGGGTTCGGACTGGAAGCAGAGGGTGGAGTTGCTTGCTTGGGTCTCCTCCTAATGAATGCTAAGGATACTTTCAACCTTATGAAAACATGGGGAGCCATTGGAGTATTTTAAAGCTGGGAAACTCTGTGATCAGATTTGCCTTCTAAGAGGTTATCCTGGCTGCAGTGCAGAGAATGGCTTCAAAGCCAGGGTGCATTCAGGGGGTCAGTTGGAGGCCGTGAGGTGGTCCCGGCCAGAGATGATGGCAGCTCTGACCAGAGTGCCGGTTGTGGGGACAGGCAGAAGGAGGTGAGATTTAGGAGGTAGCACTGATGGGACATGGTGATTGATTGCATAGGGTGAAGGTTGGGGAAGGGAGGGGATGGAAAGACTCTCAGGTTTCAGGTTTGAAAAATTGGGTGGGTGTAGCTTAGAAAGTGATTTTTAAAAAGGTATAAAGTGCTAAAGGGAGTTCAGAGGAAGGACAAAATCCTTCCAGCTGGCGGAGAGGTGGGAAGATTTAATATTGTAAAGATGTCAATTAATGAATACATTAAATACGATGCCAATCAAAGTACCCACAAACTGGGGAAACTTTAAAAAGTTCACTAAGGTGCTAAGATAGTACCTCTCTGCTTGAAAAATGGCAGGGCCCTGCCCTACCAGACATGAAAACCAACTGTAAGTTTCAGTAATTAAAAGAATATGGGGCCTTGTAGGAACGTACAGAAATGTCACACAACAGACGAGAACACTTCAGAATAAACAGTTTGTGTGCTCACGAAGAGTGTAAATACGTAAGTGTCCGTGTGGGTGTGGGACCTCCTCGGGTCCACGTGGGGGAGACGGAGTGTTCACCAAGTGGTGCTGGACCAACTGGGGAAGCACTGAAACAAAAGTTAGGCATCTAATTTCATATTAGATGAATTAAATAATTTCAATTCAAAATGTAAACAGGTCAAAAAATTGTTACAAACTTGAGCCTTGCTAATCTTGTACAGAAACCATCAAGCACAAATAGGTGAATACATAAAAGGAAATTAAAAAAAACATTTTATTTGTATATTTATTTTTAGAGAGGGTTATAGAGGGAGAAAAACATCAATGTGTAGTTGCCTCTAGCACGTCCCCTACTGGGGACCTGGCCCACAACCCAGGCATGTGTCCCGGACTGGGAATAGAACCAGCAACCCTTTGGTCCACAGGCCAGCACTCAATCCACTGAGCCACACCAGCCAGGCCAAGAAAATTTTAAATCGAAAGGAAAAGGACAAACTAGGAACATATTTGTCATATATGACGTATGGTCTTATGCATAAAAAAATTCATTCATTTGTTCAGCAAAAGTTTATTTTATGCCTTCTGTTTTTCAACCCCTATGTTATGTATGCATTGTGTATAAAGAGGTGAATGTTAGCTGTCTTACAAGTAAAGGAGAAAAAGAAAAATGCCTAAATTAAAAACTAGCAAGGAACCTTAGGATTTATGTCAGGAAGGAATACAATTAAGCAATAACACTTTTTTATAAATCCCAACCACATTCATAATCAAATAAATGCAAATTAAGCAGCACCATGATCAGTTTTCCCCTATCAAGTTGGCAAAGATTTTTTTTTAAATAAAAATACCCAGGCTGGCAAAGTTAGAAGTGGAAACTTTCTCACAGTGCAGCAGGAAAGTGGATTGCTACGGGCGGAGGAGCTTCATGGCACACGGGCGAGCCCTAAAAAGTCTGTGCCCTTGGACCCAACAATTCTGCTTTCAGGAATGCGTATGGAGGAAATCAGTGAGTCCTCCTGAAGGCTGTTTCTTGGAGCACAGTTTACAGTAGTAACAAATGGAAAACATCCTAGCGTTCAGGAGGGGACTCATGAAATAAATAATAGAACATCTTTACACCAAAACACTTTCTAGACATTAAAAGTAATGCCATGGGTGGGTATTTAGTTACATGATAGATGTCTATGATACAGGTTTTTTTTAAAAGCATAGTATGGTCTGGTTTTTATATATATGAAAAAAGAGTTGCATTGAAAAAACCCAAGAAAGGTATGAAAGCCTGCATACCAAGATGTTAAGAGTGGTGGGTTTTGGGTATTGACATTATTACCTAATTTTTTTGTTTTGCTTATATATACAGTTGATCCTTGAACAATATGAGGCATTGGGGGCCCACAGTCAAAAATATGCATACAACTTTTGACTCCCCAAAATTTCAGTTGCCTCCAGTATCTGCAGAGAGCAGGTTCCAGGAGCCCAGCAGATACTCCAATTCCAGGACGCTCAAGCCCTTTTTAATAAACTGACATAGAACAACATGCACAATTGGCCCTCTGCATTCATCCACAGATTCCCAACCGGGACTGAAAATACTGTTTTCAAGCCATGGTTGTCTGAATCTGCAGATACGAAACCCAAGGATATGGAGGGCTGACTGTATATTTATTGAAAAAAATCTTCATGTAAGGGGACCCATGCAGTTCAAACCTGTGTGGTTCAAGACTCAACTGTATTTATTATTTTCTAATAAGTTAATTTTTAATTAAAAGTTAAATGAAGAAAACATGATGCAAAAATTAACGTCACCCATGTTTAAATGATGAAATAGCACATACTGTTACACTTGATTCTGTGGGTACAAAGAAAGGGTTCCCAGCCAGGGAAGCTGGGAGGGTTCTGGAAGACTGCTTTGAGAGGAAGGGACCTGAGGGGGC